GAATAAAATTCGAAAAATTTATCCTGAATTTTGGCAAATAAAAGTGGGGCGTTACAGAGATATTGACAGAGGCTCATACTGCACCCTATCTAGCCCATCCCGGAAGCACGAAGATGTATCATGACCTGAAAGGGTCATTCTGGTGGCGAGGGATGAAGAAGGACGTTGCCGACTTTGTGAGAAGATGTTTTACCTGTCAGCAAGTCAAAGCCGAACATAAGAGTCTGATAGGCCTCCTGCAACCACTACCAATTCCGAAGTGGAAGTGGGAGGAAGTCACGATGGATTTTGTCATGGGGTTACCAAGGTCGTCTGAACATCATGATGCTATTTGGGTCGTGGTCGACAGATTGACTAAGGTTGCTCATTTCTTACCAGTTTCGATGAAGATGTCTTTGGATAAGTTGGCTGGGATTTATACCCGTGGGATCATTCGACTCCACGGAGTGCCTGTTACTATCGTGTCAGACAGAGATCCCAGATTCGTCAATAGATTCTGGCAGAGTTTACACGAGGCGATGGGTACGAAGCTCGAGTTCAGTTCAGCCTACCCATCAGAAGACTGATGGTCAATCCAAGCGAACCATTCATACGCTACAGGATATTTTACGAGCTTCGGTTGTTGACAGGGGTGCTAAGTGGGAGTAGTTGTTGCCTTACGTTGAGTTCGCGTACAACAACAGTTATCATTCTTCTATTCAGATGGCTCCTTACGAGGCACTTTACGGTCGTAAGTGTCGTTCCCCTCTTTATTAGGACGACGTCGGCGAGTGTCGAGTACTCGGTCTGAAGATGATCAAAGAGACAGCAGACCAGGTCGAATTGATCCGGCAGAGGCTCAAGACAGCTCAGAGTCGACATAAATCCTCAGCCGATCAGCATCGACGAGATATTCAGTTCGAGGTTGGTGAGCCAGCTTTTCTCAGAGTTCGTCCATTACACGGAGTTGTGTGATTCGGGAAGAGAGGGAAGCTGCACCCTCGATTCATTGGCCCGTTTGAAGTTCTCAAGCGAGTGGGCGAAGTTGCGTATCGATTAGCCTTACCTCCGGAGCTATCCAGTATTCATAACGTTTTTCATGCATCCATGTTGCGTAAGTACGCGTGCGACCCCAATCATGTCATTCTTCATACTGATATTCAGATTCAGCCAGATCTATCTTACGAGGAGCGACCGGTAGCTGTACTGGACCGTCAGGTTCATCGGCTCCGGAAGCAAGATGTCCCCCTCGTTCGTATACCTCAAATGTCTATGACTTCGCTTCGCTTCTAAAGTATGCACCTTCCCTCTCCCTATGGTCGTCAATTTCATCTTTCCTCACTTCGCTCTCCTCGAGTATTGGACTCTTATTCAGTGGGATCGCCACGGAGCTACTTGGGAGCAGGAGGCTGATATTTGCGCTCGTTTTCCCGATTTTCAGTTCTGATGTATATATTTTTTATGTTTCATGCATATACAGTTCCGTTTTGTATTTCCAAGGATGGAAATTTTTAAGGAGGGAGGATTGTAATATCCCGTCATGTTATTAATATAAATCATGCGTTTAGTTCCGATATAATAATATTGTCGATTATTATTTCTCGGAATTAGTTATTTCAGTCGAGATTACCCGAAATTGATTTCGAAGTCACGTTTACGTTCGAAATAATTTTGGTAATTAATGTCAATTTAGTTAATTAATTAAGCACAATAGTTGTGT